AAAAAGACCAGTGGGCAGTCATGTGACTGCCGACAGAAGTAAAAACTTAAAACTATTCATTATAAATTTTACTACAACAGATACTAAGGAGTGAGAAAAAATTCATTAAACAACTTAGACAGTTTACGTTCGATGTACTCAGTCAAAAATTTATAGCTGTTAATATGCCTATAATTTATAGCTATAATTATAGCTATAACTACCTATTAAACAGCTATAATAATGTANCACCGAACACTGTTCTTTTTTTTAGGCGATTTAAAGGAATTGGTCGGAGCGCCACGCCATGCCGTTATGTTACCGCAGAAAAAAAAAACCAGTAGGCAGTCATGGGACTGCCAAGAAAAGTGAAAACTTAAAATTGTGAATTATATTTTTACTTATGTTCTCAAATTAATTAGTAGCTATCCAAATTATTTACTGTTTTTGAAAAAAGTAATCTAAAATTATGGCATTTATATAATTATGTGGGTCGTGATAATACGTATGATAATATGCGTATCTCTTCATAATACATATTTTGAATGATGAATTATAAAATTTTTTACACGACAATACAGGTATTCCTTAAACTGGAAATTCTGAAAATTATGCGATTTGTCATGAAAATATTCGTTTTGAATTTTACTGCAACAGATACTGAGAAGTGAGAAAAAATTCGTTAAAGAACTAAGACAATTTATGTCTGTATTATCGTTTGTTAATAAATTCATTTAGAGTCCTCAACATGCAATTTGTAAATAATTGAATTGATTTTCCAACAGGAACCCTAAATACTTACGTAAAAGAAAGGGTTATTTCGATTTTTTTTTAATGAATAATTGAGTTTTTTGAGAAGGCTATTAAATAATTTGTAGAATAATTGATAAACACTACTAATAAATTTGTTTAAGGAAGAGAGTAAAGTAAGTCAACTTGCAATTAAATAATAAATTATACCTTTGTGAATTAGAATAATTTTAGTGTAATGTAAGATATTATAAAGCATAATTTAATTAAAAATTATTAACAGAAGTCTCGTCATCACATTTGTCAGTGTTACGAAGACAGTAAAAAAATTTATTTATACATTTTTATGCGTCAGAGGTATATTACACACTTCACTTAATTTGCGTTTATTGTATTTACCTAAATTTGTATTGTCAAGAATTTTTTTATTATTCATAGATTTCTGTAACTAATAAGGGCCGGGACATTGTCCAAACGGCCGAAACGTCGTTTTGTTTTTTAATAAATACAAAACATGACAGTACCATCATTGGACGTTATTTTAATTATTAACCAACTGTCATTGGACGTCTTATATAAATATTTTTATATGGTTTACTCACTAGTCACGTATATACACCACTAATCGCCACGCACGTGTGCATGAGGCATTTGCGTTATTATTTAGGGTTTAACTATTAATTAGAGTTGCCAGTAAGCGCGCCAAGCCATCGGGTCATGGGCACTTATATTATTTAAGATTTTATCAATTCTTTTAGTGGCAAGTAAGCGCCCTGGGTTCCGAGTCGTTGGGTGATAAGCACTTGGGTTAATAATTTATTAACATTTTATTAATTCATAGAGTGGCCAGTAAGCGCCCCGGGTCATTGGACGATAGGCACTTGTGTTATGAGTTATGTTGACGTTTAAGTCCACTGCGCGAGGCTCTCAGGATTCGGGAAAAAGCCAGGATGGATAACAAGAAGGGAAAAGCACTTAACACTTTGTAGAGAAATCAGAATTACTATTATTTCGATGAAACTGTCCTTATACCCCCACCTGAAAAAGAAAGACGGAATTCCATGTGTGATTACTTCTGTAATATCTTCAAGAAAGCCATGTGGAATTACATATGGTCTTACGTATGTCATTACATAAGGGATTTTAGCTTTTGGTAATGCCATATGTAATTCCATTTGAAAAAACACATAGAATTACAAATTGGAAAAAGGAAAAAAATTTTGTCATCTAGAAATAACTGAAGAATACTGTAATGCGTCGTTTACTGTGAACAATTAGTGTTACCATCAGAATAATAACTCCAATACAAGGGGATTCAAGTTATAATTCAGGAATAAAAAAAATCAAATTGAAAAATTAAATTTGTCTGTATAGAAGTAAAATCAGCTAAACCTCCTTGTTTTGGAGTTATCATCCCGGTGGTAAGACAAATTGCTAACTGCAAATAACTTATTATGGTATTTTGCAGTTATTTCTAGATGATAGAAATTTTTTCTTTTTCCAATTAGTAATTCCATGTGTTTTTCCTTATGAAGTTACATATGGCATCACAAGCTAAGACCCTTTATGTAATGCCATATGGCTTTCCTAAAAGTATTACAGAAGTAATTCTACATGGAATTCCGACATTTTTTTCAGGTGGGCCGTCTTTATAAGCTGTTGTTGTTACAAGTAGGTCTTACTGGCTAGAGGCTAGCGATCAACTGTACTGGCCTGATGCGCACTGCACAGCATCGGGCTCGCCGCTCGCGTGTGCATAGTACATATATACGTGTACAGATGGCGCTATGTATGAACTCTTATTCTAACAAGTTAACATATTATTTTATAGTGTGGCCAATAAGCGCCTTAGGTTATTGAGTGATAGGAGCTTGTGTTATAAATTAACATTTTATTATTTTTTAATGTGTCCAATAAGCGTTCCGGGTCCCTTGATGATAGGCCCTTGGGTTTCTAATTTACATTTTATTAATTTATAGAGTGGCCCGTAAGCGCCCCGGATCATTTGATGATATGCACTTGTGTTATGAGTTAACATATTATCATTTTATAATGTGGCCAGTAAGCGTCCCGGGTCACCGGGTGATAGGCACTTGTGTTTTTAGGTAACATTTTATCATTTTGTAATGTGGCCTGCAGTAAGCACCTTGGGTTATTGAGTGATAGGAGCTTCTGTTATAAATTAACATCTTGTTATTTTTTAATGTGTCCAGTAAGCGCCCCGGATCACTTGGTGATCGGCCCTTGGGTTATTAATTAACATTTTATTAATCTATTGAGTGGCCAGTAAGAGCCCGGGGTCCCGAGTCTTTAGGTGACAGGCGCTGGTATGTATATATATTCATCATATGTATACATCAGCGATAGTTCACAGCTTGGCCAGTGGTGGTGCTGATAAAGAAGCACTCTGAAGGTTGCGGTCGGCAGCAAATTTTTGACCATAGTCATGAGATATTAAAGTATGTGGCGTCTCACATCTCTCGCGCTTCAGGCTCTACTTGCCAGGTGGCCAAGCCCCTAATATTCGCTCCCGTCAAACGGCGAAATTCGCGCACGATTCATATATAAGCGCGATCGAGTCACTCTAAGCCCACACCTCTTCTGTGTCTAAGGCAGGGAGCACGTCATCAGCCTTACTGATGAGTCCTGGCGTGCTCTCGGGACGAAACACCTTTTTCTCTCTTATAGACGACCTCTTGATCTCTATAAGTATGGTGCTCGTCTTGAATGATTTTCAAATTATTTACATAAGATTGTAGTTGCTTTTGCTGTACAGATGTATCAAAGGTTTAATATATTTAGAAATGATCTTTACAAAGTTTCCGAATGTTTGAAACCGCAAAATGCAGTATCTCAAATGTTCTAAGATTAATCACCTGGTTTACTAAATTAGTACTGTGACACATTCGGTTACTTTGTTTCAAACTAATCTGACCTATAAATAGTTAAAAAGCAGTAGAAAAATTTAAGAATTTTAGGTTTGGAAGAAAGCAAAAAGGAATTTCGAAAAGAAGGAATATGGTTAGAAAATATGAAGGTTAACGAATTTTGGGCATTTTATAATGCCATTAGAAAGTGAAGGTGAACATTTGTACACTAACGTAGCAAAAGTTGCATTGCAGGCGCTATCTTGTATACATGCAAATTGTGATACTGAATGACGTTTCAGCAATATGAATGTACTCGAGAATAAAAAACGGAACGAACGCATTTCAGATTGAGTCAGTGAGCAGCAGAGATGAGTAGAGAGATTGCTAACGCCAATGCTACGGCGTGAGACAACTTTTTTCCACTGATCGGGGCGACCCGCCACGGTCAGCCGTCGAACCAAGGCGCACATTTTTCGAGAGTGCGAGACTCGTATCGAAGAGCGTGCGCCTACAAGAAGAGAAGTGGATTCGCGTGGAAATAAGCATATAGGGGCACATTTTGGCGACACGTAGAAGGGGTATACCGAATGTGTGCCTACGAGGAGAGGAGTGGAAATGTTGACTATAGCTATATATCTGAGCGCACAGCCAAAGCAAGCGACGACACGAGTTCTTCTCTTTTGACTGCAACCGAGTATATGCTATATATATATATATATTTTTTATATTAGAGTGTACTGACCCAAGGGTATTTACACTATCTTTATTCAGAAAATTTTATACATGTGTCTACATTGTTTTGTACATTGTACATTTATATGTTTTATACGCACGTACTTTACATGTTAAGGCAGAAGTAGCCTCGCTTGTACATTAGGTGAGCTTATTCTATTTAGATCACAGAAAATTTACATATTTAATTTGCATTTCTTAAAATAATTACATATAGCAATACACGCTTCAACATTTGGTTTTGCAATTATACTTTCTATATTATAAGGAGGGTATAATCTAATACTGTGTAGTTTATTGTACAAGGCTTTTCTATGCACATTATATAAGTTACATGACCATATAACATGGTTTACGTCTTCTTTTTCGTATCCACATTTGCACATAGGGCTGTTTACTATATTTTTGCGGTGAAGAGACTCCGCTAAGCTATAATGATTCGAACGCATTCTATTTATAGTTACAACGTCGTTACGCAACATATTTAGTTTGTAAAACCAAGGTCGTCGTTTTAATGTATGGAATAGTTCAAAGAATATTTTACCTTTATATTGGCCATCGCTTCTATTTTTTTCGTCACTTTTGTTGAAAGCTAATGAGTAAAATGTCTCATATAAATCCGTATAGTGTACGTGGTCTACTGTGAAAACAGATGACAATGCAGCAAACTTAGCAATGGAATCAGCACTCTCATTGCCATAAATCCCAGTGTGGGCTCGAACCCACACTAGTCTAACAGAATTGTTTGGATTAACTAATAAGTACTTTTGATATTTCAGTTTTATATCTAGAATAAGGATGTTTGTTTTTATGTTATGCTTAGTAGTAGAAAGGCTTTTTAAGGCACTGAGAGAATCACTAAATATGACAAAGTTCTTATTGTGTTGGGTCAAGATGAAATTAAAGGCAGAGTTTATAGCGTAGCACTCCGCAGAGAAAATGGAAGAACGATTATTTAAGCTATTAGCATCTATAAATTCATATGCAGGAATGATACATGCTGAGCCCACACTGGGAGAGTTCTTGATCTTGCTACCATCGGTGTATATTGGTATGGCGTCAATAGCGTTTACGGATTCACAGAGAGCCTGGTTGGGGTGAGTATGATTCTGAAGGAAGATTCCAAATGTTAGGTCAGTTGGAATAGACACCAAAGCAGTGAAATAATGATGGCAAAATATGTTGTAGTTGTTATTAATAGCAATGTTATACCCATTCTGTAAATTAAGAACTTCGACAATGCATCTTGAAGCTAGTTTCAGAAATCTGGGATTGCCTTTTAGTTTGTTGTGTAATGTTAAAATATGGGTGGCACTTTCAGATTTAATATTGCTAAGTATTTTAACTAGGTAGCATTGGCACAAGTAGCTGGCTCGATCCCTGATAGATATAAGACCTGTTTCAGCTAAAAGAATGTTAGTTGGTGTACTCATACGGTATCCCATCGCGTATCTTATTGCAGCGTATTGTATCTTTTCCAGTTTATTTATCATGTTTGCATTGTTGGGTAGGTAGACAAAACAAGCGTAATCTATCAGGGATCGCACGTAGCTTTTGTATAAAATGAGTAGAGTCTCTGGATGAGTACCCCACCATGTGCCACGCAAATATTTCAGAACCTTTAGGCCAAGAGTGCATCTTCTGTGAACCTGTGTGATGTGTTCTTGGAAAGAGAGTCTGTAGTCTAGGACTACACCAAGGAATTTGACCCATTCTGAAGATTTAATGGATACATTATTAATTTCTATGACTGTTTGGCCTGGTTTGATGCCTCTTTTATTGGCGTGGAGAAGTTTAGTTTCAGAAAGGGATGTATTAAGACCTATGTTATGCAGGTTGAAATTTATTATGTCTATAGCTCTTTTGAGATTATCTAGTTCATCATTAGTTGGGTTGCTTTTGACATATAGTGAGAGATCATCAGCAAATTGTGATACATGGATGTTGTCAGGTAAGTCAGAGATGATTGAGGCAGTGTACAGAGCATAAAGCAAGGGGCTAAGGACAGCTCCCTGTGGAACTCCCTTGTAAGAGGAGCGATAGTTGTGTGAGTCTTGATTACTGTAGACATGTCTTTCACGAGTTATGAAATTAACAAAGTTAACTATTTGAGAAGAGAATCCCATGTATGCAAGTTTGCGTAGTAGTATATCAATGTTAACTTGATCAAAGGCAGATTCAACGTCTAGGAAGACCACATATGCTTCGCTCTTCTCTCTAAATGCTTCTTCAATTGTTAGTGTGAGTTGCATCAGATCGTCTATGCAGGAGTTGCCCCTTCTGAAGCCATGTTGGCTTCCAGGGAGAATATTATTGTTTTCAGCCCACCACTGCATCCTATTTTTAATCAGGGTTTCTAAAAGCTTACAAAGACATGGTGTGAGTGATAGGGGCCTATAGCCTTTACCATTGGGCTTCTTAACAAAATGTATATACACATCTCCCCAAGTGTCTGGGTACGAGTTAGTTATATACATGGAATTAAAAACATCAAGTAGCAGTAACTTGTATTGAATGGGTAGTCTATAAATCAGGCCGAAGTCTATGCCATCCATGCCCGGAGCTGACTTGAGATTTTTGCTATCAAGAGCATGATTGAATTCTGCAAATGAGAAAGGATTGTCGAAAAAGGCGTTTGGTTCAGCATGAGGAAGAGATTCAGGGTTAGTTTGAGCCCACGGGGGGCATATTTTTTTGAGAGCTGTTTCCAGTTCTGATTCATTGTTCTGCAAGTTTTCAGTAATGTAAGAAGGTCTGGCTTTAACCCAGCGGTTCTTCATTGCTTTGAGTCTATTCCATACATATGTTGGGTTTGTGCGAAAATTAAGGCTAGCTGTAAACTGTTGGTAGCTGTTTTTTTGTTTGATTTTAAATAGATTCTTAGCTGATGCGCATTGTTTTTTGTATTCTATAAAGTCATTTAATTTTAAAGAGTATAAGTATTTCTTAAAGGCAGCAGTTTTGAGCCTGACAGCTCTATCACATTCTGCATCCCACCACACCACAGGATTCCTGTGTTTGCGTTTTGAGACCTGTTTTTGAGCAGGAGTGGAGAGTTTAACAGACTCAGTAATGATAGCAGTTAACATATTATATTTTTCAACTGGGGAAGAGAGTTCATAATCAATTGTGAAGAACTGAGAATAAGCTTCTTGTAGAGTCTGTTCAACTTTGTTCCAGTCAGTGCGCGTAGAGCTGCACTTGAAAGTTTTCCTAGAATAATAATACTTTTGAGCGTTAACACTGATGTATAAAGGAAAATGGTCAGATTCATACGTTACGTCGCACATCTCATAATTAACCCAGTCAGAAAGGTTTTGAGTTAAAAAGATGAGATCAAGGTTAGATCTGTAATTAGTGCTAAGTTTTATGTATGTCTGCGTATCAAAGTTGTGTAAATATAAGTTTCGATGACGATAAGCCACCTCAAGGCGTAAGCCATTATCATCATTGGAGTTACAATTCCAATTAATATTTTTGGCATTGAAATCCCCTAAAAATAGTGAGTAGCCATCGATGTCTACACAGCCAACAATCTCATGCCATTCTGACTGGGTCAAAACACACTCTGGAGCTCTGTAACAAGCATATAAATTAATGTTTGGTTCTACATTATTAATTTTAATACCACACATCTCTACCGTCTGCAACGGCGAAACTACAGGTAATTCACTAAAAGCTAAGTCCTCACGTATAAAAATAAGTATACCACCTCCATCAGCATGAATTCTATCGTGTCTGTAAGTACAAAAGCCTTGAATTTCGTATGTCTCGTCAGGAGTTAACCATGACTCAACAATAACAATAACATCAAAATTAGATGAATTTTTTCTAACAGCTGTAACTTTATTACGGTAACTCCTGGCGTTCCATAACATAATTCTTAGCAAGGTGTTCTGTAAAGAATTGTTGTCATTAAGTGCACTATACATGTCTGATAATATTAAAATATATGAAAATAATTTTTGCTATACTTAATTTGTATTAGGTGAATGTCTAAGCTTAATAGTAAATAGAAAGGTTTATACAAGTACATCAAGGTCCTCTTGAGTCTCTTGCGTGAATAAGTCCTCTGAATATTTTGTTTGGTAGCAAGGATTGTCTGGGTGTGTGCGATGGAATCCATAATGATCGGTGGCTTCTTTTCTGCTGGGAGAATAGTTCTTCTCTATAGTTGCTTGGTCCCTTTCTTGTGTAGGTTGAAGGTTTATATTGATGTTGTCCCCAGCTTTTTCCATGGTTTTGTTATAGGCAGCAAGGTTAGTGAACCGTGGTTGATAGCCATGCAATTCTGTTCTGCCCAAAAAATCTGGACAGTTTTCTTCCTGGAATTTATACCAGTTGGTTCTAGGTGGGACTGTTCTAATTGCTACGTGTTTTGGCACGTTTGCAGTGAAATTTTGTCTTCGCTGTGAAGGGTAAGTATGCTGTTTACTGTTTTTAGTGTGTTTCACCGCATGAGTATACAAGTTATTTGAGTCAGCATCTGTATCCTTTGGGCGTACCTGAACAGGACGTGGGCAATTTTGATAATTAGTGTGTTGTTTTTCTGTGAGAGGAGGAAAAGCCTCTTTGGTGAGAGCTACATTGTGAGAAGTGAAAGCTCCCGTATCAATTTTTCTTGCATCCTCTATAGTCTTGCTTTCCATGGCAACAATGTATTGCACATATTGTTCGCGTATGATGACAGGGCATCTCTTGTCCATGGCAAAGTGATCACCTTGACAGCTAGGGCATTTGGGAGAGGGGTTAATGCACTCACCGTCATGTCTAATTTCGCTGCACTTCTTACACTTAGGGCTAGTCCCACAGTCCGACGAGTTATGGCCAGGCTTATAGCAAGAGATGCAAATTCTTGGAGCTGCAATGTATGCACTGACTTCATGTGAAATGCCATACAAGTAGGCATGTACAGGCAGATCTTGGCCAACAAAGGAGACGATAACGGTAGTGGTAGGCAATCTTCTAGGCATGTCCTCACCTTCCTTGTACTGTAAATTCCTTTTTGTAATCCTTTTAACATTATTGATTTCCATGCTACACTTAAGATTATTCAGAATGTCATCTTCTTCTACGTCAGTATCAACACCTCGAATGACTCCTCTTCGTATCAGCCTGTGATTGGGAATGAATATATTACAGCTTTTGTCTAGTATTTCTTTGTCCTCAAGAAGTTTGTTAGCTTCTTGATAGTTGTTTAAAAAGACTTAAATTTTTCTGGATGACTTAGGAAGTATATAATCTACTTTGTACTTGTTGTACACAATTTTACTAACTGCATATCTATGCATCTTGGGCGTAGGGCCTTCTTTAGGTTTTTTGCTGCAGATAATAACACTGTATGGTCCTTTGTTCTTGGAAGTATAACACTGTCAGATTAAATTGGTTTTACCTTTACCGTTGTTTTTGATTGTTGAAGTAGCGACAGTTTCAGCTTTCTTGTTGCCGTCCTGCGTTGAAGCAAGTAGGATCAGTTGTTCAGCAGCTTGTTTTTCCTCTGCGTCGATAACCGTTGTTCTTTGATGCTTTAAGGCCACGTTGTCGATTGAGCCATTTGTAATGGGGCACTTTGTACACATCTTCTCGTTCTTCCTCACCTCTTGATCAGAGATATCCATTGCCTCTATCCTGAAGGGCATTCTGAGGGGGGCAGTGCCTCCCGGTACCCCGGGTGGCCTACCTAGTCTTTTAACTTTTTTTTTTTTTTTTTTTTTTTTAAGCCTTAATCCATGTACCGGCTAGGCCAAAAATTAAGTCATACTGTTAAGTTTGATGAGCTGTCGGCTCAAGCACATTGCCTTATCTCGTGTCACAGCAAGATCTTGACACTGATTTAAACTTATTTTATAACTCGTAAGGACAAAAAACAGTCTTGTCGTGCCACGGTACACGCATTCACTCAATCAAATCGTAGCTATATCCAATTTTATACAATTACGTATCCCCCGATATAGGTACCAAGGTATCACCCTACATGAATCTGCTATATATATTTAACTGACTCTTGCTCTCTCGCTCTTGCAGCTTGAATGATATCTATCAATCTTACATTCGATCAAATCGTGAAACTAAATGCTCATATAATTACATGCACAGAATTTGATATCAAAACATTTTTTTTTTTCCGTACGTTAATACTTAATTTAAAATCTAGTATTATTTTGAAAAAATGTCAGCTAATTTTTTTAAGGATGGCAGTTCAGCTATAACCACTGGTTAATTATTTTTCCTCATCATAATTGTTATGAACTGTAGGACAAGCCCCGGAGGTTATCGATCAACATATGTGACTTTAAGATCTCCTTCCCTCGAAGTTTCGATAGCTAAGGTAGTAAGGGCTTATGCCATTACTGTTCTTGTTTTGCTATCTAAGGATCGATTCCAACTGTCGGCAAATTTTTTTTTTAACGTGATTCATCATTCGAGTTTATTTTATTTTTATTGATGTTTTGTTGAAATTTATAAATAATATTAACAAACCCTTTTTTCCCTATACATCGAAATACATTTTTTTAATACTAATTATATTAAATAATTTCATAAGCTGATACTCATCGTTAGCATGGCCATTTCGGAATTTCATAATAATAAAATAATTTCTTAGGATATGAGTATAATTCTTACATTTAAAACTCCCAAGAAATTATTAACATCCAAAGTAGGAGAGAAAAAATCCTTATACACAATTTTCATTAATTTTTTTTTTTTTCCAAGAAATGATTAAGCTGTTCTGATCGATATTTTTGTCTATCTATACAACAATCATAATCTTCGAAGGCACAAGAAAACTTACATAAAACACCCTAAACATTTTTTTCCCGTCTTTTGTTGTAAAAAAATTTTAGGTATAGCAGCTACACTTATTGTGTTAATTAACTATGTAATTTCAATTTTAATTACATAATATTGGTTCTAGACCAAACTTTTAATTAGCGTTTGTAAGTATCAAAACTTAATACCTTTGAAAATTATGCAACAAAAATCTGAACAGTAATGAAAAACAGATCTCTCTCAGATTCTCTCTCTCGAGAGAAAGAGATGCATGAGACTGAGAGCTTTTATCATAATGTAGAGATTGTCTGAAAATATTTTTTTAAACATCTTCAAATTCAGATTATCTTTGTTGATGTAGAAATTTGACAGGTGTGTACGTACACTAGGCTCCAATCCAGCAGCATCTGAAGAAAACTGAAAAAAGATGTCACGCTTTGAGACTTAAAAACATGAAAAGCTACTGAGTGTAATAACAATCGAACCGTATCTAATTTTTCCTCTTGATCACTAAAGTGTCAATATAAAGAAAGAGTTACGTTAGCTGTAAAATCTATTATCACAAATTAATCACCTGAATACTTTCATGAAACTGGAATCACACTCATGTGTCGATAAAAATGTTTTGAAAACAAAAACTTACTGTGTATTTGTTGCAAAATTTTTTTCAAAAAATTACTCCTGGAATACTTTTATTAGTTCTTGTCATCCTGGACAAAGTGCGCCGGCGATATTATTATGCATCATAGTGTTAGAATGCATCCGAAGAAAATTGAAAAAAAATTCATGCTCTGAGAGTGAAGAACATGAATAACTACTGAATGTAATGAAAATCAGACCATAACGAATTTTTACTCTTGATCACGAAAGTTTAAATATGAAGAAAAAGTTGCATTAGCCGTAAAATCCATTATCTCAAAACAATTACCTACATACATCCATGAAACTGGAATCACACTTACGTGTTGATGGAAATGTTTTGAAAACAAAAACTTACTGTTACAGTTGCAGTTTTTTTTCCCAAAAATCACTCCTCGAATACTTCTATCAGTTCTTCTCATCCTGGACAAAGTGCACCAGTGACATTATTATGCACCGTTATGTGAAAATTAACTGAAACTTGGTACATGAAGAATTACAACATTGATTAAAGTGCAAAGAAAAACACTAAGTACAAAAATAAATTATTCTAGGAGTACTACCATGTCTATACGTACGTTGTCAAGTTCGTAAGTAAAAGCACCTCTGATGAGATCTTGCACTATTTGATCTTGTTCTTAACGAAGTGTATTAGGAACAAATATTGAACCTTGTCATTTTGGATACCTGAAATTGTAATTTAGCACAAAGTAACAGGTTGGATTGTTAAAAAGTACGTTTATATACTGAGTTTGAGTTGTTTTATAAGCTTATAATAAAGAAAAATTAATAATTAGTCGAATTCTTAGTCAGTGATGGTTAAGTGTAGATGTAGAAATAAGGGCATTTTACTCATCTGATTGTATTGGCTGATATACTTGATGCTAGAGGCTATCATCTTTCATTTGGTACACCGATTACTTGATTTCGTATGAAATGAATGGTGATGGTGTTAGTTAACAAATTAATGAAAATTAAAAGATTTCATTGATACACACCCCAAAATAAGTATTCGCTATGTACAGTAATCTGAAACAGCGCCACCTGCAGGGCAAGAAGGAGGCGAATGGCAATGCCGATCAGGCGATGCTGGACAACACGATTAAATAGCCTGTTATGGGCTGCCAACTTTTTTAATTGTTTTTTATAGTTTTAATTCATTATTGGTACTTAGAGTATCGATTTTCAGTGTAAAGAATTTGTTTCAAACAGATAACATTTATTATTTTACAGTTAAAAAAAAATAAATTAACATATGTAACAAAAAATTGTTTTCTGTTTAATACAAATTCTTAACACTGAAAATCTAAGTACTCTAAGTATCAAAAATGCATTAAAACTACAAAAAACAATTAACAAAGTTTGCAGCCCATAACAGGCTACGTAATCGTGTTATCCAGCAGCGCTTCCTTCTTTCCGTGGAGGTGGCACTGTTTCAGAATACTGCACACAGCAAATAAGGTATAAAGATATGCTTCATACTGTTAAGTTTGATGAGCTGTCGGCTCAAAAGGTGCTGCCAACTTTCAAGTAAAAAACTCGTGATTGTGCGCAGATGTATATGTACTGTAACGGTGCCCCACCGTTACAGTACATATACCACATATTAGGCCAAATTATAGTAGGCTAGGGCAGGTAGGGAAGCAGGAAAAGGGGGAAAGAGCGTTAAAGGGCTGTAGTGGGAAAGCGGGAAGGAAAAGTAGGGGAACGGGAGAAAGGGCCGAGAGAGCGGCAGATTAGCTTGGGCCAGCGAACGTGCGTAAAGCGAGTTTTCCTTGTTGCCGTCTCTCTTTGTTTTTCTGTTTTTTGGTGCGTGAAGTTTTTGCTAGAGTGAGCGCGTTTGGAGTCAAGTCGACGTCACGGAAAGTGTTGGTGCCATGACCCGGCTCCTGAACCCGTCGACAAGGTCGGACCAAGGCCAGGCCTGACGACCTTGACCTCCACACGCAATCAGTAGGGACGCCTACTGGCCTTTGCAAACTCACCCCAAGAGCGCCTAGTTCCGCCTACCCAAGGCATCTACGAGGAGCGACCTCCCCGCATCGCGTAAGTACCTGCCAACAGGCAGTCTATTGTAAAGGGCAGCGGCCCTAGATTAGCCCGCGTAGGTCTGCCCGGTTCGCGTTTTCGCGTCGCGAGCACATCGAGCAAGCGCGCTCGACGTGCGAGAATCACACCCTTCTGAAAAATATTTTGTAATTACATTTGTAATTACATTTGTAATTGCATTTGTCAAGCCATTTGTAGTGCTACTTAGAATTCCACATGGAATTACACATAGGGTTTTAGAATGAAAATTCCAAGTGGAATGCCAAGTGTTATTCCAAGTAGAATTACAAATAACAATTAGAGATGAATTTTTTTTCTTTTTAAAATAGTTAAAATAGAATCGTACGCAGCGTAATGGTCATAATTGGTGTGACCATCAGCATAGTAACACCAAAACAAGGGGATTCAGTTCGTTTTAAGAAAACTTGAAAAAAAATAGAAAATTCTATCTTCTCTAAGTTCGTGAAAAATTACTTTAATCGCCCTGTTTTGGTTTTACTATACGGATGATAACATCTGTAATGGCCATTACGCTGTGCACGATTCTATTATAAACTATTTAAAAAAGAAAAAAAAATTAATCTCCAATCGTTATTTGTAATTCCACTTGGAATTACACTTGGCATTCCACTTGGAATTTCCATTCTAAAACCCCATGTGTAATTCCAAGTGGAATTACAAATGGCTTGACAAGTGTAATTACAAATGTAATTACAAATGTAACTACAAAATNCACACACACACACACACACACCTGCGAATACCTTTTTGTAATCATTTTATATTCATTGAATATATAGTTTTATTAACAAAAAAATACCCGTGAGTGTTACTTCTTGTCTGTGTGTGCCCGATCCCCCGTTTTGCCGTGTATTGGTCGTCGCGAGAGGCGACGACATTCAAGGTCGCCGCGATACCCGATCCAGTAGCGGTGTCTCGGCGAACGAGACTCGCAAAATATATTACAGGGAGTGTCACCGTTGGGTATCCGGGCAACCCAGGCCCGGTCGAAGTGGAGCAACTCCGCCTCGTCAATCCGCGTGGTCCACCCCGTAACATTGGCGCCCGACACAAAAACCCACGGATAGGTATCGCGCGACGTCGTCTACAAGGTAGACGACCTTCACTATTATTATCTATATAATAATAGTAAAGTAGGAGCTGTAGCAGTAGCTACAGC